AGGGTTGTGCTGGACGAAATGCTACTTGTCAAAGTGCTACTGGTAGTCGTGGCCGTAGTTGTGGAATACGTAATGCTGGATGATGTGCTGCTAGTAGAAGTGATGCTGGTAGTGGTGGCTGAGCTAGAGCTTGTGGTCAAGGTTGTTGCGGAACTAGTGCTACTGGTGGAGGTTGTCCTGGTTGTAGAGGTAGTTGTGACCAGGAATCTCCATGTATCGTGCAAACAAATTCCAGCGGAATAACCCGAAAAGCCACCGTGAATCCAAAGTGACATACTGGTGACATCCCAAGCTGCAGCATGGTAATAACGAGCGACAGGCCCGTCTTGAACTGGGTTCGCGATCAAGTGCCAACCTTGGATTTGCTTAAGGATCAAGTCCCGACCTTGAACCTTCTGGGGAACCTTGAAAAAATACAGACATCTTCCCCAGAAGGGGATTTAACATAGGGAAAATTAAAAAATCACGTGATCCGCAAAGCAAGCAACTGTGGCTCAGGATATTGAACCTCCAAAGTTCCCCTTGGGCCACCCCAGTGGATCCACCCAAGCCACCATGAATCCAAATTGCTTGATTTCTGGGGTCCCAGGCTGCAACATGATATGCTCGCAGTCCTGGACCAGCTTGTGAGACGAAGCTCCAGTTTGAGACTTTGGTGTCAAAGGCCCACAACTCATTGCTCAAACCTGAGGGACTCAAAAAGCTCATGCGTACTCCACACAAATGGCACACTCTCACAGTGTCTGCTTGGCACGTCTCTATTTTCGTAAAACACGGGCTGGACATTGTGTGCAGCTACTCTCACTGTCACTGAATCCTGATGGTCGGTCTTACTCGCAGGTATATTACTCTGGGGCTCGGATTTAGTTTAAAAAAAATGTGCTTTTTTCGATGTTTTTCGTGTTTCGTGGCAGGCGCATTACTTTGTGGACCTTGAAGTGCAGATTTCGTGGCAGGTGCGGGACTTTGTGGATGTTGAAGTGCAGTTTTCGTGGCAGGTACAGGACTTTGTGGATGTTGAAGTGCAGATTTCGTGGCAAGTGCAAGACTTTGTGGGCCTTGGAGTGCAGACTTCGTGGCAGGCGCAGTACTTTGTGGACCTTGAAGTGCAGATTTCGTGGCAGGTGCTAGATAGCTAGATAGATAGACAGATAGATAGATAGATAGATCGAGAGATAGATAGATAGATCGATAGACAAACAAACACAAACAAATAGATAGATAGATAGATAGACGGATAGATGGATAGGTAGACAGATTTGGGAGCTGTCGTAGCTGGCAAAATACATTGTAATAGTGTAGGTGTCAGAGAAAATTTCTACCTATCACAACAGTTTGGTGCAGTTAGCAGAGAAACAGCAAAGAGAAAGAGACCTAGCACTGGAGGCGTATTTGCTTGGTTAGAAAGTTTTTGCACCGGGGAGTTCACCTTAAAATATTGATTTCGAGGCAGGCGCGGGTGTCGGAGATGAAGTGCAGATTTCGTGGCGTGGGGGGGTTGGGGGGGCCGCAGCGCCCCCCCCAGCAGCACACCAGATCCAAAGGTGAGCAGCTCGTGCTTGCTTGCTTGCTTGCTTCCTTCCTTCCTTCCTTGTTTGGTTTCTTCTCTGCACAGCGAACAGAAAAGCAAAAGAAAATAGAGAAAGGAGAACAGCTGCCAAAGAGAAAGAAAGAAAGAACAAAATAAAGAACAAAATATTGCTGTTATCAAAGGTGCTACAAAAGCCACAGAAGCCACGGAAGCCAAGAAAGCCAAAAGCCACAAAAGCCATAGAAGCCACGAAAGCCAGAAGCCACGGAAGCCACTAAAGCCAAGAAAGCATCAGCCACAGAAGCCACGAAAGCCAAAAGCCACAGAAGCCGCGCAAGTCACCAAAGCCAAAAGCCACGAAAGCCAAAAGCCACAGAAGCCAGAAGCCAGAAGCCACGAAAAAACAAAAAAACACTAAAAACACAAAACATTCCTAAATTAAATGGCTCTCCATTACTCTGCTACATGAAATGCGTTTTGAAAGCAATGATCAACCTGCGTTGACATCTTTCGACAATGATGGAATAATAGGTCAATAACACTGCCACACCGTCTAAATCCAAAGCTTCAGTTGTTCAAAGCAAAGAGCCATGACTGTCATATCCACCATGAACCCAAATGGCCGAATTTGTTTCGTCCCACGCAGCTGCATGATGAGCTCTCGCTGAAGGTCTGTTCTCAATTGGCTGGATTTCAGCCCAAGAACTGGACGAGCTTCGGTACGAAAACTTCCAAAGGTCATCCTGAAGATCGCTACCCAACCCTCCATGAAGCCACATGGCAGAACCGGCCGCATCCCACACAGCCACATGACTGCTCCTAGCCCTCGGAATGTCTCCAGGTCCACCGGCAAAGTGGCTCCAGCTCTGGTCCCAATATCTCCAGAGGTCGTTGAATAACGTCAAGCCATCAAAACCACCGTGAATCCACAACGACCGGCTGCTGGCATCCCAAACAGCCACATGGTCTCCACGTTTCGAAGGGGCGGGAGACGTTGGTGGCTGCAAGTCCCAGGCGCCCTTTTCGGCATCGTACGCCCACAGATCTGGCCTGAATGCGGCATTACTTCCGCCGTGAATCAGGAATCGCTGACCTGTAGCATCCCATGCAGCTACATGTCCCGAGCGCTCGGGTCCAGTATCATTAACTAGAATCCAAAAGGCAAGCGCTGAAGCGAGTCCATTGAGGAAGCACATCCTTTGCAGCGATGCCATGAAGCATCATTTGGATTCATTTGGAATTCTTGAGCCGTGAAACAATCTTCAAAGAAAGGAATGTGTGTGTGAACAGCGGTAATCTGTGTACTCTTATTATCATGTAGAGTCAATGACAGCAGCAATCAAATCTAGCCAAATCATTCTGACAGCAGGACGCCTGTTCCAGGCGAACGGACGCTGCGGAGCTCTAAGGAGCTGCATCCTGGTGGCGCGGAGCTGCGGACGTGGAGTTGGTCATTCATCCTCTCCAGATTGAGCTGGTTGAAACCAATCATGAGTGGGGAGCTGGAGTTCATTACCGGTTGAAACGTAGAGCTATGTAGAGCTGGAATCAAATCCAGAGTCTTACCCCCATTCATGAGAATGGCTCGAGCCCTTGGCGCCGCCTTCATGAACAGGTGACCAACTTCGGATCCACACCAGTCAACGGGTCTTGATGTGGTCCTTGATGCCTCGAACGGATCAGAGATGTGACCGTGAAATTGAAATGATCGGATCTCGGCTCCGACCGAGAAGTCAATTCTACGTTCCCGATGTTTGCCCAATTGCACCTGGAAAGCCAATTCCCAGCAATGGATCATGACAGGTGCTCGGGCTTTGTTCATTTGGGTCTCTCATCTCGAGCTATGCACTGCTCACCGTGCCTGAGCATCGGTGCCAGAGCATCCTAGCCGCGTCGAACGCAGTTCCGCACGACTTTCTCAACCTCGGAAGCGATAGAGTCTCCCTTGTGACTAAAGCGCTGAAGCCCATATGGCATAAGCCCTGCTCACATGACAAAGTCAGAATATATATTATATATATATATACAACATTAGACACTCTAGGTTTAAAGCGCAAAAAATGCAAAAAAGGAAAACAAACAACACATAATTGAGCTTGTTCAGCGTATCAATGCTTAGCGCGAGTGTCCAATCTGATTTTAGCAAGCATGTACAGAATATGTCAATGCTGTCCTGCCAGTGAAAAAATAATCCAAACCTGGGATGTGGACATCGCTCGGCAATTCGCAAAAAACCTTTGTCTCCAAACCGGTGGGGTCTGATGAACATGTACTTTGCCAAGTTCATGATGCTAGAAACTGAGACTCTCTCGTGGCCGTGGCAACATTCGTTGCACACAGGGGCCACCACGAAAAGGAAGGTAACTTGGGCCGCTGCAAGCCAAACAACCATCAAGAATCAATTAAATTAAGAATCATCTTCGTGCGCACTTGTTACGGCGCTATCTGGCCCTGAGGGCAAAGCCTGCAAGACTTGCATGCCTGGCATGTGATCATGCCTTTCGCTGAGGCACTGCTGGCAAGTGCAATGCCTACCGCGTGCTGGTGTGGGTAGGGCTGATGTGTTTATGACTTCCTTGGCCGGAACGACACGCCTGGAATGGAGGAACTGGGACCAACGAGGCAACCAGTCTGCCTCTGCTGGTGTTCTGGCCAATTTAAATTCTGCTCCTATGGTATCATGTGCTGCGCCCAGAATTGTCAGCTCTCTGTCCACTTTTTGCACCCTTGCTTCTTCCACCTTCTTGGCTGCATTGCCTTCTTGCACTTGAGAAAAATCCGGTTGGAGACGTTCGTTGTATTGCTGCACACTTGAAGCAAACTCTGCTTCTCCAGCGGCAGGCTCTGCCACAAAAAGCATGGGAGCGGGCTCTTGAACTCGTCGATGTGCCTCTTGTGCATTTCTTCTCTCAACCTTTCTCCCAGCGTTTGCTTCTTCGATACGGGCAGCAAGCTTTTCTCTTAGACATTTGTTTTCTTGCTCTGCACTTGCCACAGCATTTTGTGCTGCACCAGCAGCCCGTTCTGCTTCAGCGAGCCTGTCAGTCAGCTCTTCCACTCTTCGATTTGCATCTTGTACATTCATATTCATTTCCTCAACTTCTCTCACTGCGTTGGTTCTTGCTTCTTGGAGATGAGAAAGTTCTTCTTTTAGTACTGTTTTTTCTTGCTCTGCGCTTGCCGTAGCATTCTTTCCCGCCTGTTCAGCAAGGAGCATAAGAGAAAGCTCTTCTGCTCGTCGATTGGCGTTTTGTGCATTCGATTCTTCAAACATTCTTGCTGCATTGGCTTCTTTCAACCGAGCAGTAAACTCTGCTCTAAGACACTGGTTTTCCTCCTTCGCACATACAGCAGCATACTGCGCCGTATCAGCAGCACGCTCTGCTGCGAGAAGCATGTTGGTCAGCCTTGCCACTTGAGCTCTGCAAAATACGTATGATTAAACCCCTATGTCGCATAACGTTCTTACGCTCCTGCTTACGCCTTTCTTACGCGACCACAATGTGAGCTTACGCGCCACGGATGTTGAAGAAGACCTTACGCAGATCTTGCGCATCTGCATTTTCACAGATGAGAACCATACTCCAAAGGGAAATGCTTACGCGAAGGCTCCTGTTTGCAGGTGAGCGGGCGACAAACACATGATCACTAAGACTCCGAAGCAGAGGAAGCAAAGGATCACTAGCATCTACTTACTGGCTGCTGTAGGCAAATGAAAAGTTGGCTTACGCGAACCTTACGCGGAGCTTACGCGAACCTGAAACACAGTGCGCACAAATGTCAGTTCCCAAGGGTTTCAAAGCTCTCATGGTCCATACAGTTCCTTTCTTGACAAGTGTGTGCTAAGAATCTACTAATGAAAACACAACCATATGGCAAGCTTACGCAACATGCATGTCTCACAACTCCCTTACGCAACCTTACGCTCTTCAGGTTTTTGCTTACGCCCAAGTTCCATATGACAAGGCCTTTACTTAGTTCATCTTGGGAGGTTTCTTGCGGTGCTCACTTGTTGGTTGGCCTCTTGCGCATTCGCGTCCTCGACCCTTTTGGCTGCATCGGGCATAGCGGCAGTCTCGATGGTTGACGTTCGAAGGGCTATTTGTCCATGGTCCGGAGGCGCTCCACGCTTGGATTTGTCTTCTGTGCTGAGCAACTCTTCCAGCTCTGCTGCCAGCCTTTGCAACTTTGCTTGCTCCGCTCCTCTTGCTGCATTGGCTTCTTCCAACCGAGCAGTGAACTCTGCTCTAAGGCACTGGTTTTCCTGCTTCGCACATGCAGCAGCATACTGCGCAGCGCCAGCGGCACGTTCAGCAGCTGTGAGCATACTTTTGAGGTCTTGAATCCTGGGCCAGGCCTGTGCTTCGGTCACGTCTTTGATAATTTGGGCAGCTCTCAGGGCTGCTTGCTCTCTCTCAAGCTGGTCTTGAAGCCGGGCCATCCCTAACGAAATCGAAGCAACATGCAAATGATCAACTTGAAGCTTTTGGGTCATGGGGTCGCATCAAATACTATAATTCAATCTTAATATAACTATATAACTAACTATATAACTACTGAAGCTATAGAATATCAGCAGAATGCCAGGATCTGACATCGACAAACGACAGAACGCAGGACCAAGTGGCCTTTTCGAAGGTTCTCCACTTCCCTTTTCAGGCGGCACGTCTCCTCCTGAGCCCTTTGCAGTTCCTTCCGGGTCTTGCCCAGAAACGGCTCGTGCCAGCGCCAATGCCACGGGGCAGCGTGATGATCGTGATGTGCGGAAGACCTGTCCGGGACCAAGAACCTGATCACAGCTGGAGTAGTGAAGTAGACTCTAAACATGACAGTAGTTTGGTGGATCAATGAAACTTTGGGTGGGGCATTCACTCGAGAGTCCAGGAAGAATATGGTTGACACTCTTCCAATTCAGCTGATGGAAAATGATATTCAACTATAGGACATGACATTCCCCATCTGCAAACATCTGCAAGAAGTCTTCTTTCAACAGTCAGACTTGAGATTTCATTGAGAGAATTCTATTTCGGGACTTGAGACTTAAAGATATCAGATTGATTGAAATATCTTAAGAGATGGTGTATCAGAACTTTGGATTCCTTCAGACAAATTCAATCATCCCTTGATTTCTCCATCCCAGCAGCTCAAGGATGAGCGGTGCATCTTGCACCGGCTCTCGGTCAGGGGCCATGGCTGACATGGCTCAACTCAGATGCAAGGTTCTCCAAGTCCTCGTGTCAGAAAAACATGTCTGAGATGATGAAGCCGAGGCATTTATTTCCTGAGCCTGGGTGAAGGTGAAGATAGCTGTTTCTCTTGAGTGATAAGTTTGGCAGTTGAGTGCTTCTCTGCCTGCGTTGTCCATGTGGTGTGAAAATCTCTCATTTTGCGTGGCCCCGAGCCCAGTCAGGAGACAAGATGCTGCATATGCTGCGGGCCCCGTTGGAGGGATCGAAGAATCTGGGTACTTCTTTTCGTTGGGAGCGGTGGAGGTGGGATCCGCGTTGGATCCTGGTTCTGTACATCTTCCGTTTGCCGCAAAAAACACCTCTGTAGCCTGTAGCCCAAGAATGCGAAGGGGGAAACAATAGACAAGTGTGGTCTCCAAGGATACTCATCAGAAATAAGGCGAAATGGGTTGCTCCTCTTTCCTCTCTGTGCGATCTTCCTCTTCCACTTCATGGCCCGTACCTCGGGCCACCGTGCGATCTGGACACCGCCAACCTCGCACTCCGCTGTCCGCGGACGACCGGACAGGGGTCTGACGATGTCCGGAAACGAATGAAATGCACCCCATTGAAAAAGCACACCATTGTGGAACGTCCTCTTCATATGGGTAACGGTAACTAATCAAGAGTCTACCTTACCAGGGTTGGTCGCAGGGACGGAACCACATGGAGCTGGGGATGTGACGCACCACATCGTCGGAGCAGAACGACGGAGAGAGAGTCGAGTGACGGCAGGTCTTGCCGTGTTGGGGGCCTTCGTCGGTGCGGGTCGGTAGTAATTAGTCCACTGACGGGCGGCCGCTTGTTTGTCCACTGCCAAGGACTGGACAAGATTGTCAAGTCATCTCCTTGTTACATGATTTTCTACATTCAACGTCAAGGACCACGGACGAAAGAATGATCCGTTCTAGGAGTCCCCAGAGGTACAGTGAAGATGATCATGCTCATGTTAAATCAGCTTCGCCAACTTGGAGTGCCCTCCGGAGGCAACATGGATGGTCGTAGACAGGCAATGATCACAGCAAGCGCGTCTGTTCAAGGTTTGCCAGGGGCAAATATTTCTGCCTATCATGGGTAAAGGCGCCTTCACTCATCAGGAAAACACTTGATGCTTCACTTTGGGATGTTTTTAGTGTGCTATGTTTGGTTTCATTATGCATATAATCCGCCGGTTTAGCATGGTTTAGCACTCGACCTCCGTCGAATGCGTTATATCGTCTTTTTTGGTACAGAAACCTAGAGTCTCAAACCCTCATCTTCCCAACCGCAAAGACCGGTGGCCTCAATAATTTGAAGTCTTTCTTGAACGGAGGGATGCCTATAGCAGTCAGGCCATTTCCACATCAAGAGGCAAATCAAAAGGGTTCTACCTGGACCATCCTGTCTGGGTGTCCTGTCTGGAGATCCCGGATAGTAGTGCAGAGTAGTCCATTGGACGCCCAAACAGGATGGTCCTGGTATAGGAGGTATGATCTGACAACTAACCCTAAACTGGTCTCCAGTCCTCAGCGCCCAGCCTTGACTTCGGCTCTTCGCCACGTGACGGTGAGCGCCGGCGAGGAACTTCGCCCACGTCATGTGCCTCGACTCGAGTCCAATTGATATGACTTGGTCGATGACTGGGTGGGTTTGGAGGATTTCAATTCGTGTTTACTTGGTTTTCGTGTCGCCGGTTCTGCCTCTGCGTGCAGCAAAGCTCCAACGAAATATACATCCATCATCCATGATCCATCCAAAGGCTAAAAATGCAAGATCGTCGAATTTGGCTTGGGACGGGAGACGGGTTCTGGGAGAAGCCAGGCCAACTACTAATCCATTACATCTCAAACAGCCCACCGGTACAGCTAAAACCTGAGACTTGACCAGACCGTCACTGGAAGGTGTTGTTGTCCCATACTGGCCTACTGATGCCTAGTGATGCCTACTGGCCGTTGTCTGTAAACAACGTGTAAACAACTGTCAAACCACATCTCCTCTGCCAGATTTCATCTCAATGAGAAACCTTTTTGTCCCTCCGCGCCATGCAGATTTGACAACATGGGCCAACTTGCCACACGAGACGCTCTCTCCTTAGGTCACTTTGTGACACTACCGCCCGCTTTTTGGACGGTGAGGAGCCATGGCAGCCATGGCCAGCGACGTCGCCCTTTTTCTGCGACGGCGCCAACGACTACGAGCTGGTAGCAAAGTCCCATTTTCCCGATCAGAAATTCCGTAGAATTATCAAACTCATTCAACCATGCCTGGTTTCTTCTCAACGTCCTATCACCACAGAACACCCAAGCTCCAATCGTGTTGGGCATCAACGAGCCGAGCCGGGAACATGGGACGGTGCCGGCATCAGATTCAGGAGTCCATACCATTTGGCAGGGCAACTCGGGATCACACGCAATTCAATGAAGAAGAAAGTGTCACACTGTCATGAAGACTTCGCACTTCTGCCGAGTCCAAGTTTCTGTGCCAAACATTCACATGCACGAGGAAGCGCTCCTCATGCTAATTCGCGGGCGCAGTGGCAGCATGTGCAAAGTGCCTCTGGTGTGGGCAGGACCGACGTGCTGGCCACTGGAACGACTGCCCGCCTGGAATGCAATCGGCTTCGGAAAGAAAAAACACCATCACTTTCTGGCCGCGACCGCGACGGTGACGCAGCTTCATCTGCAACCACCTCTGCTGATCTCAACAAGCTTTGCAGCCCACCCCTTTGGTATCTTGCTCCTGGTGCAATCCCCTCTGCAACCCTTTTGGCTGCATTGTCTTCCGCTAATCGAGCAGCAAGCTCCTCCTTCAACTGCTGATTCTCTTGCTCTGCCCGCGCAGCGGCCACCTGTGCTGCTTGAGCCGCACGTTCCGCTTCAGTGAGCATGGCCTTGAAGGCCACTTCTGCTCGCAACTCAGCCTGGACACTTGCTTGTTGGAGCGCCGACTCAATGGCCTTTTCGTGAAGCACTCGTGACTCCATCATGTCCATCTCGAGGCGCAGCGCATGCTGTTGCAAGCTGGCATTGTCCTCCCGTGCCTGTTGCAGTTCTTTGGCCAACTCTGCTTCTGCCAAGTGCAAGGCCTGTTCAAGCTCTGCACGGGTAGCAAGCTCTTCTTTGAGGTGCTGGTTTTCTTGCTTGGCACTGGATGCGGCTAACTGTGCTGCTCTAGCAAGGCGCTCCGCCGTCAGCGTGCGAGTCAGCTCTGAGACCCTTTGATTTCCATCTTGCGCAGTTGCTCCATCAGCATCTTGCGAAGGAGGGTGACGGCTACCATTGTCACGGCTATGGCTACCACTAGCACCGCTACCACTATCACGGCAACCACCGTCTTCTTTGAGTCGTTGAACTTCTCGCTCTGCACTTGCAGCAGCCAACTGTGCATCGGCAGCTGCCTGCTCTGCTGCGGTGAGCTTGTCTTGCAACTCTGTAATCCTAGGAAAGGCCCGGCTGGTGATGAGATCAAGCTCGACCTTTGTCAATTTATGTGCCTCTTGTTCCTTCTCGAGCTGTTCTCGAAGCTCAGCCAGGCACAGTTCCAGGCGCTCCACGTCTTGCTGATGGCTGACGTTTTTCCTCCGAGCAGTCACGAGTTCCTTCCTTGTCTTTCCCAGAAGTGGCTCATGAAGCCGCCAATGCCACGGGGGGGTGATGATTGGGCTCGTCAGACTGACGGCCATCAAGGTCTCCAACGGTGGCCGACATCAGGGAGTGGGCTGAAACTCTGTGAAACCGTTGCCCTTAAAAAAAGTGTTCCATCTTTTTTAGAGCTCTTTTTGACGGCCCCCCATCAAACAGCAGGAAACTCACAGGTTAAGCAAATCAGATTCCTCTGAAGGGGTGGTGAGGTTCCAGGGTGTCTATCTTGTACGTAGATTGATGGTGTGGAACTCAAGATGAACTAAGTGCTCCATTGGAAGTAATGTTGCAGGCCTTAGACTTTGAGACCAAATGACTACCGTAGCCGCTTGCACACGTCACGTCCCAACAAAAAGAAGAAACGCAGCAAAGGCACAGAAACCGCTCCGGTGACCTCTGGTAAGCCGCTCCTCTAGTCTGACCATGTCCTCCAGTCCGGAGCGAGCTAGGGACCTGGGCACTGACATCCTCAGTGACTGAGCGAATGGTGCAGGCCTGGTGCAGAACGCCTCCGGTCACCCCCTTGCCCCGTGGTCTTTGTCTCAGGCCCCTGCCGGTCACGGCGAACCCGAGGCCGGCGATCCGTGACCGGTCCCCAAGAGCGACCACGAGGCTTGACGATGCGGCTGTGGACCGGATCAACGGAGAAATGCCGTCGAAACGTCGATGTCTGGCTATCTCATGACTATGACGTCTGCATGTTCATCTATTTTCTATGTTTAATGAGTCTCATGACCTGTGACCTTTCAATAGCTTTGAAACAGGAGTCAAGGTGCGATGATGTTACGATGATCTTAAGCTTGATCTGCGTCTTTCGGCAGCGTGCGTGGTGACATGGTGAGAGGTGACTAACGCCTCAATGGAAACAGTCTCTCTCTCGAGAGAACATGCAAATCAGAAGTCCTTGGACCCAAATCCAGGGATATCCAGAACAACACCAACACCTGGTGATCTGGCCCAACATGCTTGTTTCCACCCAAAGGAACCGTTTTTCGTACCCAAGTTGCCAAGTGAAGAGGGACAAAGCACCGCCTGTCCACATCGCTAGAATAGTCACATCCCTAGACCCACTCCGGACCGGATCTGAATCTGAATAAGATCAAATCACACCAGGAAAAAGACACAAAAGTAGATCCAAATCCCCTACCAACATATCTTGACACACGGGAAATCACCATCTGGACTAGCATCTGGTCACGTCATGTGTTACTCTTTTCGGCTCTATGGAGCCATGCAAATCATGCCGTCGGCCATCTACTCACTCCCCTCTCTTTCGGCTCCCAGCGGATCTCCCGTGCCGCCAGCAGATCCTCCAGTGCTTTCGGCCCTGCGCAGCTCACGCAGCGGCCACTCACAAAGAGCCTTCGGTGGCTGTCGTTCAACATGGACCTTTTCCAACACGACGTCCGGACGACTGGCATATGACTCCCAATCAGTTGGGGTGGTTGACCTGGTGTCAATCAATGTATATGCCAAGGAGTGTCTGGGAATGGAACAAAATTAGTATGCCCTGCATGCATGCATGTTGAACTACAATGTCTTCTGTATTTGTTCTCACAAGATGTAGCTCAACATCTTGCGTGTCCAGTTCCAAACTCTTCAAAATGCTTGCAATCGTTATATTAAACCATATATATACAATGTATGGGTTCATACCAACTCACACACACACACATATATATATATACATTATATACAATTGATGTACAGACTCATATATCATTGGTGATGACCGATGTCCATGGAAGGTTCCTATGGCAAGGTGCTTTGAGGTCCAGTTCATCCGTCCACCCCGCCCAGCTCCCGACCAGTCGCCCAACAGCCTCGACTTCGCCCAGTTGAGCCCCGTCGGAGCGAATCGGCCGTAGCTGAACATCAAATGGCTCAGTCTCTGAAGTTCGCTGAACATAGCTGAACTCTTGACTTCAAGTCCTGAACTGACTCCGTGAGAGTCATCTTTGACAGGGAGAAGCTCATTAAGCCTTCGAAGATGTATCATGATGAATTTGTCAATCTACTTGCTGCATGTGGGGGCAACCGGGAAGTGTGCTCCTGTTCAATTGCCAGACCAAGTTCACTGCTCACAGCCGACCTTTCGATTTTTCCCCAGCCGACCTCACATGAACCGAAACGCCCCGGGGTGAACCGCTCCGATCGGTCGCGCCTGTGCCGATGCAGGCAATTGTTCGCATGCTCTGCGATGTCTTGTTGGTAAGTCTCCATGCTCTGGTAGACCATGTCACTCACCACGGGGTGTCCGACCTCATGGTGAACGGAGAGAAGACAAGCATGACGCCGTGAAAGAGGCCTGACTCATCTCATCGCATCTTGGAATCTCTGCCAAAAAGAGCTGGGTGGTCCATGTTTGTGACATATTGAACGAGAATCTGGTGGTTTCAGAAGCAGTCCGACCCAGTGCCTTTTCACCGAGCCCCTTTTCGGAGGCAACGGCGTTTCAGCACCTCATGCAGGTCGGTGTTTTTGGTGGCCCCTGGTAGGTGAATCATGCAGTTTGTGGGAATGGTTCTGAGTGGGAATATACAGTAACAATCAGTTAGGGATTTTTCAGTACGTGTTTGTTTGTTTTAATCACTGTCTTGAGTCTTGAGCGTATTCTATCTGCAAGTTTTTCTATCTGCTAGCTGTCTACTATATATCCAAAAACAAAACATCTATCTCCCATGCCGAGAGGCGTGCGCCAAGTGGCTACCTGGGCGGTGCAGCTATACATGAAACACGTTTGAAAAAAGAAAACAGCAGGCGGGATCGGGCCAGGTATGGAATCAGTTGGAGCAATTGTCCGTTCAACCTTCGCACAAAGCAAGAACAACTGAGCTGAGCTTCAATTTTTCACTAGGAGCCCTGGCTGTAGGAGGGCATACTCAGGTTCCAATAACTACTTAGTTGTTTAGTCCAGAAGTGATATGCAAAAAGAGCTGAAATATTATCCAGGGCGATCGGCGATCGACGTCGACCGACTTGGAGGACCCTATCTATCTATCTAGATCTATCTATATATCGATATCTAATCTAACCTATCTATCTGCAGTAATCTATCTAATTTATCCTATCTATCCTAGATCTTCTATCTATCCTATCCTACCCTATCCTATATCTATCTATATCAAGCGCCATGTGGATAAAGTCCTATCTATCTATATCATGCGCCATGCGGACAAAGTTTCAATATGTTTCAATGGTTTGTGCGGAAGGAACTGCCAATCGAAAGCACGACAAGTCATGAGGCGGGACACCTCTTCAGCACCACAGGTTCACCGGTTGCATTCGTGGGCGCCCCCTGGGCACCACACGTACCGCTCCAGGAATCCAAGCCCCGTGGCTCTGCCCTTCCACTTAGCTGGGCAATGTCAGGCACAGGATTTCCTCTTCCTTCTCCGTTTGACCCATCCCCGGGCCAATTAGTGGATGATGCTCCCGTCCAGGAGGCGTGGCCTTTCGACCGGTGTCCTGTCTTTCGTCCCACAGAAACGTTCCAAGAGACGGATCTGGTGCTTTCGACCCGTTCCCAGTCCTTATGGACGTTGGGCACTCCGCATCTCGACGTTGCCATGGGAACCCTGGTGGAAGATCCAAAAGATTTTCATTAAACAAAAACATAGCATAGGGTATCTGGCCAGGGTTAGGATGTCTGACTGGAAGCAACAGAAGCTTGAAAACTGAAAATTTAAAATGCAAGCAGCACGTCATGACGCGTCATTGACATTGCAAATCTTTTAACTTTCGAGCGGGCTCGGGATCTTCCCTCAGGTGGTGCTTGGAGGATCTCCAAACTCATTCACAAGTTGGTGACAACCTCTGACATCTCTGATGTTGATGTTGTTTTAAGGTCTTGCTTCATGACATACAACTCCGGGACCCTAGGGCTGAAACCTCATGACTTAGCCGCATGAATTTTGAGGTACTTTTCACAACTCCTTTGTCATTTCAGCACTGTATCTAATACAGTAATAGTGAAGGCTTGACTATTTCAATGCTCAAGAATGTCGTGAGAAAACTATAGAAAACTACCTTTGGGACCGTGGAATTTGTGTCCCTTCCTCCACGATCGCAACCAAACCAAGGCAGGCAGCAATCGCCGTACCCCCGAACCACGTGAAAAGAACTCTCTCCGGTCACACAACAAAGAAATATACAAGGAGAACTCGTAGAGCATAGCTATGCGAGGCCGTAGCTCTTGTAGCTCTCTCTTGTAGAACTCGTTTCTGCTAGACACAGAACCCGCAAAAGTCTTTGTGCAGACGACGCGTCGAAGCTCAGCATAGCTCAAGCCTCGGTAAGAGCGGCTGGCAGACGTGCCATGTGAATGTGCAAGCCACGGCCACCGCTATAGTTTTTTGAACACCAACGGTTAAAGCATCCCTGTACCAGGTGCCACCCGTGATTGGCCAAACAATAACATCTAGCCTTAGGCGAATGGACTGTGAGAGTTGCGGCGAAGCGAGCTCCAGAGGCCGCACGGAGGCACGAGCGTGCCAATCGCTCATCTCTGATGTCTGCCAGGACGCTTTCTTCATATTTAGCATGTCAAACATGACAGAGCTACAAGAGACAAAGGAACTGAAGACCTAGACTATAGTAACTAGTGACTTGCTCCAGTCTAGTCATTCTAAGGTCATTCACAAAAATGATCTAACTAGTATATCATATCTATAACATTCTATAACTAAACTCCCATACAAGCAAAAAGTTCGCGAGCAACTCATCTCTCCAGGCAGCTGTTCAACCGTGGGTGTTGCAGGTGCCGCGTCTGCAGCACCAGTGTCCGTGCCCCACGCCCACGGGCGGACGCGAGGCTCGGAGAGGGGCCGTACCAGAAGAGGCGTGCGGAGATCTGGCGTGTTGGAGATCTGAGCGATATGCCGGGGATTTGGGTTGACCACCCCAAATGAACAGACTAGAAGATCTAGAATCTAGAAGGAACATGAACAACTGGGGGCTCCATGGTTTTGGGCTCCATCGTTTTTGGGGCTCCATGGAAAGGATGATTTGGAGCATCACACTTGGCAGAAACTAGGGGCGGAGCCAGTCATGGAGTAACGTGCACGGAAGAATCCGTGATCTATAGGCTCTAGGATATTTCGTTCTATAATTTGTGCATTGGCATCGGCTTCAGCGGCAAGACAAGACGACCAACGCCCCGCGAGGGTTGGTCCTCATGGGCTCCCCAAGGAGCTCCCCGTTCGGAACCGCACATCGCTTGCCTCGCCTGGCTCTTGGTCAGCCAGCCATGGCAAAGTACTTGATACTCACGAACCACACGGCCCGCGTGCAAGTCCACCTGAGGCGCGGAAGCCGAACCCAGGGGAACCCGCTCTGAGAAGGTGAATTTGACGCATGCCAAGGCATTCCATCAAAACCAGCCATTCTGGTGAAACCACCACCTCCCCCTTGAAAAAAGGGGCCTACGGATGTCTACGGTCTACGTCATCTAACATATTCTATATCCAAGGAAGGGTCTACTACTATCTACTACTCAAGTGAGCTTTCTTGCATGGCCCAGATTGCCCCGGCCTGGAGCTCATAGAAGGCCACATAGCTCTTGGCCAGCACTACCAGGCCACTGCTGGGCACATCCAAGCGATGCCTTCGGCGTCCCGCAAGAGTCTCGTATAGTCTCGTGCCGGCTCAGTCGCTAAGGGCTCCAAAAAGACAAACTCAGTTGTAAGGAAATCCTGTCTTGATCTTTCTTGGGATCTGATTGGATGATTCTTAATGGAAACATCCTTGAACGCCCCGATAATAAATTGACAGCATTTCAGAAAAGAACGGATTTCAGGGCCCCAAACTCTTGTCATCAGCGGTATCTAGGTGGGAGCGCCTCAAATTTCTGAGTTCCCTTGCTTCCTGCTGCTTCCTGCTTCGTAAAAAGCCACACGAGGGCCTGATCTTCCCCAAAGGAACGATGTGCATCGCTAAAGGGACCATCTAAGAATCTATATCCGCCGACCCCGGCCTATAGCCAAAGCCTAGGCGGAGAGGCGCCTGGGACACCGCAGGGTGAAGCAGTTGGCCAAGCCTAGCAGAACCCTTCCAAGCACTTCCAAAGGCCTGTCCGAGGCCTCGCCAGCTGGCAGGCCTGCTGCGGCCTCTCTGTGGCCTGTCCAAGGCCTGCCTCCTCTCTCGGCAGCTGGCAGGCCTGTTGCGGCCTCTCTGTGGCCCGTCCGAAGCCTGCCTCCTCTCTTCTTATGGGCTTCCGAAGGCGACGTTAGGCATTTTGGACCGCCTTCAAACGCTCCTCGGCAGCTGGCAGGCCTGTTGCGGCCTCTCTGTGGCCTGTCCGAAGCCTGCCTC